TTTCCCTTGTATTGGAGGGGAGGTTGCATATCCAACACTACTTTTACCTTCTCTGGGTTAGCCTCTATCCCTCTACTATTAACTATGAAGTCTAGAAATTTTCCTGCTGACATCCTAAAGGCACACTTAGCTGGGTTGAGCTTCATCTTGTATTCTCTCAGGACCTAAAACGACTCTGCTAGGTATCCAATGTGGAGCTCTGCCTTCAGTGACTTGACCAACATGTCGTCAATATAGACCTCCATGGAGGTCCCAATCTGTTTGTGAAACATCTTAATCACCAGGCGCTGGTAAGTGGCTCATGTATTTTTTAACCCGAAAGGCATCACTTGATAGCAGTACGTCCCTTGCTCGGTTATGAATGAGGTCTTCTCTTGGTCACTGGGATCCATCCTAATCTGATTGTACCCAGAGAAGGCATCCATGAAGCTGAGGAGCTCATGTTCCGCAGTGGCATCTACAATCAAATCTATCTGGGGTAAAGGAAAACTATCTTTCGGGTAAGCACGGTTGAGGTCTGTAAAGTCAATGCAAAAACGTCATTTGCCATTTGTCTTCTTGACTAGGACTACATTGGCTAGTCAGACTGGGTAATCCACTTCTCGAATGGCTTTCGCGTGAAGGAGCTTGCCGACCTCTTTGTTGATGGTTTTCTGACGCTCCGGGGTGAAGCTCCTCCTCTTCTGCTTAACGGGCTTATAGGCTGGATTCACACTGAGCTTGTGAGTGATGACAGAGGGATCAATCCCTTTCATGTCCTCTTGCTTCCATGCAAAAACTTCCTTGTTCCTTTTCAGGAATTGGATGAGGAGATCAAGGATCTCCTTGCTCAGCTTGGATCCAACGTAAACAAGATGCTCTGGCTCCTCATCAACTTGAACAGGTTCTAGCTCTTCTGATAGTGTTGGCCTGGTCTCGAGTTCATCCCTTATGTCAAGCTCATCCAATTGGATGCTCTCAACCTCCTTATTTCTCATGGATGCCATGTAGCATTCTCGTGCTACGCGCTGGTCTCCTCGGACCACTCCAACTCCGTTTTCTGTTGGAAACTTCACTACAAGGTGATAGGCAGAGAGAATAGCCCTTATAGAATTGAGCGAGGGTCTTCCAAGGAGCATATTATATGCTGAAAGTGCATCAACCACTATGAATTTCACAGTTGTTGTAGTCTAACAGGGTGGGTCACCTAAAGTCAAGATGAGTTAGATTGACCCAAGGGGCAGTACCCTTTCTCCTGAGAATTCCAATAGGTGGGCACTTACTGGTTCAAGCTTTTTCCTCCCTATATTCATTTTGTCGAAAGTAGAAGCAAAAATGATGTCTGTCGAGTTGCCATTGTCAATCAAAATACGATGGATAGTCCTGCTGGCCACCAAAGCTCTTACCACCAAAGGGTTATCATGGGGATGTTGGTAGTCCTCCAGATCTGAATCTGAGAAAGTGATAGCCGTGTCTAAGCGTGGAGACTTAGACACAGTATATACTTCGGGAGCTTCTGTGGTTCTGATTTTTTGCAAGTGGGCCTTTCTAGCAGAGCTGGACCCTCCTTCTTCGACAAATCCTCCAGATATCATTCTGATCTCCCCTATAGGTTGCTGGTGTGGCTCTGGTGCTTGACGCTGAGGGGGTGGGGGTGGGAGAGCTCAATTTTGATTATCATTGGCCATGTAGCGTCGCAGCTGCCCTCGTTGGATTAAAAATTCTATTTTCCTCTTCAATTGGATACAATCGTCGGTGTGATGACCATGGTCTCTGTGGAAGTCACAATATTTCATAGGATCCCTTTTTGCCGGGTCTGCTTTCATCCGGGGTGGCCACCTTAAGAACTTCTCATTTTGCACCTCATACAGTATCTGAGACACCGTAGCAGTTACGGGGGTGAGCGTCCGGGGTGCATACCTTGGTTGTAGCTTTGGTTGTGGAGGGCCGAGGCGATCCCTGACATTTTTCCTTCTCTTCGGGGAACGTTCTCTGTCTCTTCTTAGAGACCTGTCTCGTTCTCTTTCCTTTCTGGGACTTTGTTCTCTCTTCTTTTCTTCCTTCCCTTTCTCCTTTCTCGACGAAGAGCTCCCGACCTTGGAGAGGAGCACTTCCTCACCATTTATGTACTTTTCTGCTTTGACGAGCACCTCCACCATACTAGCCTGGGGGTTCTTTGAGATGGAAAACATCAGATCTTTGACTGAACTCCCAAACCTACTATGAAGGCTGAAATAGCAAATTTTTCGTCTGGGACATCCACCTTCAAGGATTTTGAGTTGAACCTTTGGACATAAGACCGTAGGTTCTCATCAGGTCCCTGTTTCACATTTAACAAATGGTAGCACGGTTTCCTATAGGTCCGAGCTCTGATGAAGTGGGACACAAACGAGATTGACAGCTCTTTAAAAGAGGAAATCGAGGTTGGGGAGAGTCTATTGAACCATGCTAAGGCTGAGCCCTTCAGGGTGATAGCAAAGGCCCTGCATCTCACTGGATCTTGATATCCATGCAACTCCATTTGATTTTTGTAGGTGTTGAGGTGGTCCACAAGATCTTTTGTCCCATCGAAAGAATCCACCTTCGGTATTCTGAATTTAGGTGGGAGAGGGAAGTGCAGCACCCTTGCAGTGAATGGAGATTCGGTTTGCTGCACCAAGGCATCCATAGTGACTGGGGCCTTGCTCTTCATTGCCTCCTTCATCTGGCTGAGCTCTTGCTGGATGTCTTTGAAACGTTGCTCCCAGTAGTGTTCTCTTCTCTCCTGTTGATAAGGGAAGAAGTCGCTCCTCTCCCATTCCTTATACTGACTTTGCCCTTCCTCGTTGTGATCATTCCTAGGGGGTAGGCGAGGTTCTTGCCCCAAGGTCTAACTATTCTCTCCCACCTCATTAACTTCTCTGAGGGGGTTGAGATGCGGTTGCTCCCTTGGTAGTGGGTTATTCTGGCCTCCTTGGGCCGGTCGCGCCTCCTGTGGGCGTTGTAGGAGCTTTAAGAGCTCTTCGTTCTGTTTTATCAGACGTTCACTGACAAGACGAAGGACCTCCATCTCATTATTCATGGGAAGGCCCCCCATGAGGGGATTTACTTCTTGAGTGTTTTCGGATTGTCTATTATTTGAGACTTCTTGTTGATCTTGCATCCGTAGAAGATTGGTTTGACTTCGGCTCATGTTTCGCATTGATACCATCTATCACTGAAAAATCAGCTTTATTTGTAACAGGAACATTCGTTCCCATAGACGGCGCTAAACTGATGGTGTATTTCAACGTGGATGAGCTTAAGATGCAAGTAATATGAGATGAGCGTGAATCAGAGTTTCGAGGCCCGTGTATGATGCTATAATAAAATATTGAGAGGATTAAAGGGGTGTACACAGTGAAAATATAGTAGTTTACCAGCTCGAGAGCTCGGCTAATCTACTCTTCAATGGAGATTCTTACTCCTTCCTTCACTATTTATTATACCAAAAAGGTTTACAGACTGTAAGATGTGATACTAGGGTCCTCTCCATGTTAGGAGGTGTTACAGTGCATTTATAGAGTCATTCCCTGCTAGGTGGGATCCTGGCCGAGATTCTTGCCCTTACTTCGTGGGATTCTCTCTAATTCTAGGAGAAGATTTTGGTTGGTTGAGATTAGGTGCCTTAATTATAGCTTCCTAACGCTTTTACGAACCTCTCGTGATCTTCCAGCTGTTGAATTGGTTATTATTGCTTTTGCTTATCTCGAAGGGATCTCCAGCTCTACTCTTCCGAGTTCTATTCGTGTAATCTGACCTCCTAGGCTGAACTGACTTCCTGAGTTGACATTTGAGATTTATTTTGAGGTATCATTAGATTCAATATGGCGAAAAGAAGAACAACACTAGATGCAACGATCAAGGTTGAACTAGCTAAAGGTGGGAGACCAGAATACAAAGTTCTTTCATATGACTACAATCCAGTGATGACAAAGAAACCAAATACTAAGATTGAAAAGAGAAAATGGGGAGTGGGTTGAAGAGGAGGATGACTGTTTTTTTTTTTAATTTTTTTTTTAAGAGGAGGATGATTTAGATAGCATGTTTGAAAGTTTCTTCAGTACGCTATACAAGTAAAATGGGGCAAGCATTTAGAGGAAGTCCTAAGGGTCTTCAACCCAATTGTCACAGAAGGCATGAACCACGATCTCATGAGACAAATTTCAGATGACAAAATACACAAACCGTGCAAACAACTGGGTCCAACCAAAGCCCCGAGTCCAGACAGTTTCCCAGGTATATTTTACCACAAATTCTAGAACATAATAGGTCCTGACATATGAAGGGAAGTGAAAGAGTTTTTTTGATAGGGTATTTACGTTTAGAGACTTCAATGAGATTAACATAGTCTTGACCCCTAAAGAGCAGGCACCTAAAACCCTTTCTCAGTTTAGACCCATAACTTTATGCAACTTTAGTTACAAGATCATATCCAAGGTATTGGCAAATAGGCTAAAACCAATCCTAAGCCATCTTGTTATGCCGAATCAAGCAACTTTTGTCCCCCATAGGCAGATACATGATAGCATTCTAGTAGCCAACGAGGCACTTCATTTTCTTAAAACTAGGAAGAGGGGGAATCCTACTTCTATGGTAGCCAAAGTGGATTTAAGAAAGGAATATAATAGGGCTGAATGGGACTTTCTAGAGGCAGTAATGATTAGGATGGGCTTTCATCCGAGGTGGGTTCAATTAATGATGAAGTGTGTTAGTACTATCTAGTTTAATTTGGCTGTGAGCGGGGCAAAAGGTGCAGAGTTTTCTCCAAGAGAGGTGTTGGACAAAGGGATCCCTTTTCCCCATACCATTTTCTTCTGTGGCAGATTCCTTATCAAAGACGATGAATGAGGAGGTTAACCAGGGAAGAATTTCAGGCATAAAAATTAGACAAATGAGTCTTACTTTGTCACATTTGTTTTTTGCTGATGATTCATTGTTTTTCACTAAAGCTGTGGTGTAGGAAGGAATTAATCTAATGAGGATGCTAGAGAAATTCAGCCATGCATTGGGGCAATATTGGCAAATCAAGGATCATTTTCCCAAAGAATATGGAGAATGTTCAAAAAGCGGAGCTCTGTCAAGCATTAGAGATGATTCAATTGCTAACAAATGTGAAATATTTGGGGATACCAACTTACTGGGGAAGATTGAAATCCCAAACGTTGGGATATATTCTAGAAAAGGTGCTGAAAAAGATCCAAAGTTGGAAACATCATTTCATATCACAAGTTGGGAGGGAGGTCCTAATTAAGGTTGTGTTATAAGCAGTTCCTGACTTTGCTATGTAGTATATTGCTTTTCCACAAAGCTTCTGTGATAGATTGAATTACCACGTGAGACAGTTTTCGTGGGGTAGCTCTGAAGAAGAGAAGAAAATTAACTAGAAGAGTTGGGATATAATGACAAAACCAAAAGCAGTAGAAGGTATGGGTTTTAGAGATTTCAAGTGTCGTAATCAGACCCTCCTTGCAAAGCAATGCTGGAGAATTATAAGTCACCCTCATTCCTACTGGGCCATAATGCTAAAGTTGATTTATTTCCCCAAATGCGACTTTCTGGACGCTAAAAGATGATCACAACCATCTTGGACTTGGCAATGTCTATTGGTTGGGAGAGAACTATTACAGAAAGGAGTGCGGTGGCAGGTGGGTGATGGAAGTACTATTAAATTTTGGAAGGATAAGTGGATTCCTAAGTCGCCTTTTTCCACTCTGACTACACCTAAGCTTCCTAATTGTGGTATCAAGATGGTTGCAGATGCTATATCCCCAAATTCAGGGGATTGAGACTTAATGAAGCTGAGATCGATGTTATCAGAGGATGAGTGTAGAGCTATCATCTCAATCCCGACAGCAAAAAGAGAAGGGATAGATAGCTTGGTATGGCACTATGATTCCAGAGGTATCTATAAAGTTAAATCTGGCTACTTTATATCAAAGAATGAGACAAATTATCATTGGATTGCTGCAACAAGTGTATCCTTTGGGCCTCACCCGAAATTGTGGCCATGGATTGGACAACTGAATACTACCCCAAGGGTTAAACATTTTTGGTGGAGAGCTTGTACTAATGCCCTAGCAACAAAAGAGAACCTCTACAAGAGAAGATGTGCACAAAGTTCTCAATGTCAAAAATGAAAAAAGGGGAAGAGATTGTGGAACATATGTTATTTTTATGTAAATGGACACGGAGAGTATGGTTTCGGGATGGATTTTGGGTACAAACCTGATGATTATCCCTTTGTGCCGTTTGTTTAGTGGACTACATCGCTACTGGAGCAGATGGAAAATTGACAGCAAGCTCCGTTTCTCCTAAGCAAATTAGCCAATGTAGGGTGGTGGATATAGAAGGCACGAAATGAGGCCATTTTTGAGATTAAGGACCCTGATCCAAGAGCTGTGGTTTATAAAACAAATAGATCTTGTACTGTCATCCATGTGGAGTCTGAATCGTCTCTAGATCAGGTGGGCAATGCCACTGACGATGATAATTCTGCTTGGATTCCTCCAGATCAGAACAAGGTGAAGTTCACTTGTGATGGGGCGTAAAAATTCTCAACCTCTTTGGCATCCGTCAGGATTATTGTGAGGGACAATTAAGGGCGTCTCATTGACGGGAGAGCCTTATCTTTTTCACCAGTTTCCAGTCTGCATTCAGAGGCTTTAAGGCAATTTCAATGCAGTCAAATGAGGCGATGGTGGAAAGTGATAACAGAGAAGTCATTCAGCAGCAGAGTTTCTCTGAGACAATGCCACCTTTGGGAGATTGCTGCCATAGTTGACGACATGAGGAGACCAATGGATTTTTCCTTTAGTTTTATTCCTAGGAAACTTAACAAACCAGCACATTGGGTGGCAGTATCCCAGGTGAGTGAGTGAGTCCCAAGTGACTTTGTTGCTAATGTACCTGGAGAGTTTAAATTGCTTTTCAATGTTTGTAATGCCCACAATATTACTTAAATGAATGAATGATGGATGTTTATTAAAAAAAAAAAAAGAGATTGGATTCATCAAATTTCGTCCCTTGGAAGTTTCAAATCATTTCAATCCTATGACCTCATTCAACATTTGGGGTGAATTGACTTTTGTATGGGATGATGATACAGCTTTTATTGGTGAATTTACATTTTTTTGGGGTGATTTTACAACCTTTATCAGCAGACGTGGTTCAATACATTTTGGAATCTAAAGTGGCAACTATAATGAGTCCTATTTATTTTCAATATTAATACAAAAATTATTTACAATTTATTCATCTTGTTTTTTGAGATGCAAATGTATTGAGTTGATTCAAATTTTGCTACCCTATCATTTACAACTGATGGTATCACTAGTCAACTTAATATTTTTTATGACATGGATAATAAAGATTTTTATGTTCTTTTAACTTATTTTCTTCATTTTACATTATGTTTTGGCATATTACAAAATTTTTCTCTAATTTTTTGTTACTATGAACATATTTGTTTAGAGATCTTTTTTAGATTCCATTAATTGTTCTATTTTTCTTTCTTTTTTTTGCAACTTTTTATATTTGCATGGTGGGTGAGAGAAAAGGGAGTGGGGTCAAAAAGAGGGAAAAATATTAATTGCAACGGTGATACCACGTTAGAATATTCATATAGTATCACCAATCAATAATATATAAAAAAAATAAAAACATGGACCCACACAAGCTAATAACTACATGTCCATGTAAGTCAATAACTACTAATTTTTCTTCCATGTAATCCAATAACTATTTAAGTGGGGGGGTTCATTTTTTCTATTTAGAATTTTGTTATTGGTTGGTGATACCATGATTTCACCGTTGCATTGAATATTTTCTCCACAAAGAGCTGGAGATGTGTTTTATGTGTCCATATGTTTAATTTTGAGGCTTTGACAAAGAAAGGGTTTAATATTATGATAGTTAATTTGGACTTACTTGACTTTTGAATGACTTTTATTTTATCGTTAATCTCTTTTTTATTTTTGTTTTCAAAAAATTTGAATTTAGGGGTCTTTAGTTTTGATGGGCTGAAGAATGGGCCCAATCTACTTAATTTAAAGAGAAATTTAGAGACCGCTCTCTCTATATGGATTTATTTGAAGATAAGTCCGTCAAGGAAATTTATTTGGTTTTAAGTCTATTTTTTGTCGATTTTACTATTATAACCTTTCTCTGAAGGAATGTTATGAATGACGTTTATGGACACAATAACCAGCTATGTACACCTCCTTTATAATCGCCTTCAAATCCAGTTACACAATCTTTCAAGTCACAATATTTTCTTATCCAAAAATAAGAAACCAAAATTTACCAAAAATCGTTTATATTCAAATTTCAAACCCATTATATTCCATAAAATATTATTTTAATTTATTATTCCAATTTACTTTGGACTCCATCGATAAAATATTAATATTTAAAAAATAACAATAGTAATATACTCAACAAAGACAGTAACATGGTCACTAACAAAATAGTAACATGCTAATAAAAAAATAGTAACATGGTAAAAAAGTAATAACAATTAAGGATTTAATTCTGTCAAAGTGGGCATTAACCTTGTAACCAAGATTCAAGAGAACTTATACATTAGTACTAAATTAAAGTGCTATAGATTTCGATTTTGTTGATTTTTTTGTTACTCATGACAATTGAGTATTCCTTGATTATGTTATTGTGGAAAAAGTTCGTGTTACTGTGGAAAAAGTTGATGCTATTGTACGTGAACCGAAAAATAGAGTTCAGAATTTTGATATCTCGATATTCACAATTGGTGGTGAATGTCGTAATTCAACTATCGGTTGTGTGTTACTATTCATCATTTTGTAAATTTTCAATTTGTGGATCGTATTTTCACTAAAATCATTCGAAAGTTAATGTTATTATAAAAAAACTATTGTTTTGTATTTTGTAAAATTAGATGTGTTACTGAGTACAAAGTTTTAATGTTACTATGAATATTAAAATATATGTTACATAATATACGTCTTAAAGTTTGCAATTGTATGTTAAAATTCATTACAGTAACATTAGTGTCAGTATAGTAATATGACTGTACTGATAACACGACCCTAATTTTAACTTCAATCATATAGTAACATTCGTGTTACTGAACTCTATTGGCATTGTTCAGCCTCCATATATTATGCATTATTGTTGTTAAGGAAATTTTGTGATCTGATTTTGATTTAATAGACCAATAATTTATTCGTACGCTTATAATATATAACTATCAGAATATATAACTTCCATATAAACTTCTGTTAATTATCATAATATTTAATAAACGGTTTCCATATATAATTCAATAAAAGGTTTTCATATATACCTCAATAATCTAACTCATGTAACTTTCTATAACTGGACACAACTAACACCGTAAGGGATAATTTTTAGATTTAAAAAATAAGTGGACTTAAGTACCTACATGTAAGTTTAAATATAGACTTATCTCAAAATAAGTTTATTTCTATGACTCAAGTCGTTATAAGTTTATTTAAGGGAATTCATCCTCAATTTTCACTAATTTAAAATTGGAAAAATTGAAAGGGGTACACTCTGGGGAACTTATTTGTCTTAAAATACATAACTCAGACTTTTCAGCCATTCTCCTAAATATTTAGTGACCACATACACATTTACAGTTTTCATATTTTTGTATTACGTAATTATATTTACCTTAATTCATGCATATATATTTGACAATTTTCTAATTTTTTGAATCTGTTTTATTAGATAAGAGATTTCCTAAATTAAAGGATTAAAAAATTATTTGAATTTTAATTACACATTCTTGGTTGCCAATAAATTCTCAACGGCTATATTGAGGCTCCATTCCTGGTAAGAGTTAGATATAGAGAGAGAGGCATAGGAGAGACAGATGAGTTATTGGTCACTTGTGTAACATACCAACAGTTCAAGGACCATTAATGACAATGATGATGGTGATTATGAAAACCAACGGCTTATATGCTTTCTTTCTAGTACGTGGTTCCTTCTTCTCTTGTTTTTGGATTTTGTTTGGAAATAATATTAGACGTGATGCAACACCCTCTAAAAGTGTGGTCCAGCATTTCTCATCAGAATATTTTGGGGTCAAATGTATATCTCAAATTGTTTGTGTTGCGACATGATTGCTTCCATTTATTTTTCAATTTGATTGTTGTTCTTCGACTCACTATATTTTGTCATTATTATTTTTTATCTCTCATTGTTTTTTGTCACTATTTTTCCACGTGTCATTGTTTTTTTCAGTTGTCACAATTTTTTTCATCTGTTACTGTTTTTTTTTTCATGTGTCACTATATTTTTTTCTTGTTTCACTGTTTTTCCTTGTGTCACTATATTTTCTATGTCACAGTTATTTTGTAGTGTGAATTTATATTATGATACAACTGCATTCTTTATATATATCAGTTATAGTTTTGAATTTAAACTCCTTAATTGTAAATTATTTTTCAAATTTGGATTCTTTCTTTCTCTCTCTCTCTCTCTCTTTATATATATATATATATATATGTATATTTATATAATAAAGTAGAGCCGAGTTTGAATTTTGGAGACAAAGAGAGGTTCAGATCGTTTTGAGACAAAACATAAACACATCCAATGAATAACGTAATCCCAACATAAAAGGCAATTCAGATCATCTCAAAAATTTTGATCTAACGGATCAGGATGAGTATTGAATTTTGCTTTCTCGCCCATCCACATTTCCTAACTAACGCCTTTCTCTCTCGTCCCAATCTCTCACGCCTCTATCCCTTCCTTCCAAACTCATCCCCAAAATCTTAATCATGGAATCCATCTCAATCTCAAATCTTCTCCCATCTGATCATTTTTGCTCGCAATTTCGTGGGCCGAACCAGGAGACCATAACAAGCGTCTATAAAAAAGTAACTCAGAGAGAGACCTAGGTCTCAACACCAGTTGCAGTATGTGAGAGAGAGGGTGAAAGGTGAAGAATGGACGTGACAATAGCGAAACCAGGTGAAATACTCCCAGAGCGCAAGATAGACAGATTGATATATGATAAGCTGCAACATAGCCGAACTTTAGTGGAGGACATCGTCGCCAAGATTCTATCGGTGAAGAAAGAAGGCAGGTCCAAATATGAGCTTAGAGAGTTCGCCACTCAAATGTTCCTCAATTTTTTCACTCTCCGCTAGGTTCCTCCTCCTCCTCCTCTCTCTCTCACACACAATATTACGTATAGATTTGAGCATATTTGAGTTTTCTGGCTTTCTCTCTCAGCTAGGGCTTGGTATGTGTGTTTACAAGAGTGTAATGATTTGTGGTTGAAATTAGTGCTATTTGGATGCTTTTTGAATGAGTTTTTGAACTAATGGCAAAATTTGGGCCGCGCTAACTTCTATGTGGTTATGTTTATATGCTATTTGTATTCTTAATCTAATCGTGCTTATGTTTACCTTAGTGATTTTTCAACACAATCTTAAGGTAACATTTTTTATTCTTATGATTCATTTTCCCTCTCTATGTTTTTTGCTACACTCATGTGCTGATTTTTGCTTTGTTTTGTTAATTTTTCTTCATAGGT